CTTTACTCTCGGCATGGGTTGCCAGGCAGGTCTCGCAATTGTAATTAATTAAGATACCTAATTATGTAAAAATATTACATAAATATATATGTAGAATTAATATATGTATATATATATATATATATATGTATGTGAATCTATATGTGTATATATATATATAATTTTTAAAAAATATTTTTATTTATATATAGGTATATATATAGTGATATATACCTATATATTTATGTATGTAGATATATATATTATTTCGTTCTACGTGTATTTTGATATAAATATATATATATATATATATATATTAATATCACAATACAATTCGAACGAAATAACACATCTATATATTTTTTAATTATTTTTTTTATTATTTTTTTAATTTTATTTTTTAACGTATCTACATATTTAATTTTTTTATATTATATATAAATATATATATATATATATAGATATAAAACAATAATTATATATATATTTAATCAGTATCAGTCTACGTGTAATTTGACATTAATATATATATAATATATTAATAGTAAAATACACCTAGACAGTATATGTGTGTGTATGTATATGTGTATATATATACTTAGAACATATATATATAAATATATATATATATATGATCTAAGTATATATTATTATTTTTTTTACACTTATAAACTTTTATTAGTTTTATTTTCAGCCAGCAGGGGGACCACCTGTCATTACTCGCAAGGACCTCACTCTCACATGGCCGGGGGGGACCGGAGCAGGAGGATCTGCCGCGGGTTGCTCCCTGGGAGTCCCCCCCACCGCAAACCGGGTAAGTAAGGAAAGACCGGAGGGTGTACTATTACGCCCGGCGGCGTTTAGAGCCGCCTAGAATAGGGTGTAATAGTACGCCCTCCAGTCTTAAGGGGTTAAAGGACAGAAAGGGCTTTAATTTGATGTAACATATATATGAATGCTTATTTATTATTGAAAAATAAAGAAAAATGCTATTTTTTTTTTTTTTACAGTTTTTGCAATAATAATGTGTGCATAATTAGTGCAGGTTAAGGAAAGTAATTAAAAATAAATTCATTTAGTTGTGATTTACAGAATGTATAATGTGTCTGGGATTTTAAGTTTTTTTTGGTAGTTACAGGTCACAAAGCACAAGGAGTAAAATAAACTTTTAATGTGTAGCGATTTTAGAATTTAGTATGTTTGTCTTGTAAGCTTAATAGCCATAAAAGAAAACAAAATTGCCACACAAAAGTATATATTTATATAAAGTAGACATCACGGACTATTTAACACAAAGAAAAAAATAGAAAATAGTCCCTCCCTTAGGCAGGGACTATGGAGTGTGTCCTGACAATATCCAAACAGGGGATAACCCTAAATATTAACTAACAGAAGAAAGAGTGATCCTAGGGCAAAAAAGTCCTGGATACACAGATAGGATATTTCAGAGTGAAATATCCTATCTGTGTATCCAGGACTTTTTGCCCTAGGATCACTCTTTCATCACGGGCTATTTACCTAAGGTTGTTTTGACACTTTCTACGTAGCCATTTCACCTCCAACCTCTGCTAAATATTGGAGTAAAATTGTGCTTTTTTTGGTTTTTGGCACACAAACTTATAACAAAGAAATTTTCATGTGTATTTTGTAAGGTGGTGTGTGCTATTCCTGTACAAAGTTTTATTCTGTGTTCAGTTACATCTGCTGAGTAAAATTACACCCCCATTGTATGTCTTTGGCACTATTTCGTGAAGTTACAGTGGCCTATAGGATACCTGTCCTTTTCAGTATTCACAGTAGAATTTTGAGAGACAGATTTAATGAGCCTTTGCTTCCATTTGGGGTATTATAGTAGTTTGACTGTTCAAAAAAATCCCACAAAGGCCTACCATTTGTAAAAGTAGACACTCCAGGGTATCTCATAAGGTGCATATTGTGCCTTAACATGCCCACATTTTTTCACTAATATATGCCAAAGTATGTGGTAAAAAATAATTTTGTGCATTTTTTACATATGGATTGCATTTTCGCTGGGCATTTTGTATATTTCATATGTGCCACTAAGTTCAAACCCCCAAATTATGCTCAGCTAAGTCTTCTGAGAAAAAGGACACCCCCATTGTATGTCTTTGGCACTATTTCGTGAAGCTACAGTGCCATATAGGAGATCTGTCCTTTTCAGTATTCACAGTAGAATTTTGAGAGACGGATTTAATGAGCCTTTGCTTCCATTTGGGGTATTATAACAGTTTGACAGTTCAAAAAACCCCCACAAAGGCCTACTTCACTATTTCGTGAAGCTACAGTGCCATATAGGATACCAATGTGTTTCTATGTTTCTATGTTTCTATAAGCCATATCAGTTTTTACCGAACTTTGAATTTTGACGCTGGGCCTATGTGCAATTTCCAAGCATCTTAGCAGGGTTTAAATTCAAACTACCCCACAAAGGCCTACCATTTCTTAAAGTAGACACCCCAGGGTATTTCAAAAGGTATATTTTGAACCTTAGTGTTGGATCATTTTTCCGCTAGCTTGTACCAAGTATAGTGGTAATAAGCATTTTTTCTGCCTTTTTGACACACAAAGTGAGTTTGCACAGTATATTTTGCAAACCTTATGTGTGCTACCACTGTATAATACTTCGTATGTTGCTCAGCTATGTCGGCTGAGTACAGCAATACCCCCTGTATGTACCTTTGCCAGGTATATGCGGACATCACATCAGAGGGGCACATATGGGACACAGCCATTCCAGTTTTTTTCAAACTTTACATTTTTACGCTGTGCCCATGTCCCATTTTAGAGTATTTTACCAGGCTATGTAATCCAAATAATACAAGAAGAGATGTACACAGAAGAAGAAAGAAAATATAATAGCTCTAAAACACCTAAACAGTGGAATCCCCTACATCACTAAAGATACATAGAAATACATACAAAATAATAGGTGGAGCTGTAAAATCTTGAATAATCTGTAAAACACAAATTAAATGCAAACAGTGTAGTATGTGTAGTATCGAACTCACAAGGCCGGAGTCATACCATCATATGACTCTAGAAGTATGTGTCTTTGGACCATTGGGGGTTGTCCAGACCCTTTTGTTGTCAGCTTCTTGGTCTTCCCCCTTATGTTCCTTAGTAGGTCCCCAAGGAATACTCTACATGCAGGTGGTCCTTACATAGTATTATATATTTATTGAAAATAAAAATAAATATAAAAAAGTTTAAAAAGGTTCCATATATCAGGTAATACTGAATATAGGAAAAAAGTCCAATGCAAATGCAAATTGGAAATGTCCAATAAGTGTCCAAAACACGTTTCACCTGTTCAACAGGCTTCCTCAGTTGGCTGTAGTCTCTTCTCTCTTTGCTTGTCCTTTTTATATGCTTAACTTGCCGGTTTCATTATCTCCCTATATCTACTTCCGGGTTGTGCTTGAAAGGGACGCACGTGCGTTCCGGCCGCTAATTTTGCTTCCGGTTTGCGCCTAGATGGAACGCACGTGTGTTCCAACTACTTCTCTCGCTTCCTTTTCACCCGGCTGACATCTTGACAAACCGGACAGAACTTTATTGGAACGCACATGCGTTCCAACAATGTGCTATGCTAAAAAAAGGAAGTATATAGTATAAATGTGCTATGCTAAAAAAAAAAAAAAAAAAGAAAGCATGTAATATAAAAGCACAAAACATTTATAATAAAAGACATGTGTTTGCAATTAAATTATACATATTGAAAATACTTGTAATAAATAAAATTGGAATTTATACAGTAGCAGTGCAAAAATATAAAAAGTGCAGAGTAATGCAGTGCAAAGATATAAACAGTGCAAAGTGCAAAAATATAGGACCCCTATATGTATCTGTGGGGTATATCTAATATGTTGAAAATACTAGTTTCTCTTATTGCTAATACAAAGGTTATCCTGCACGCGGAACCCGGAAGTGATATAGGGAGATAATGAAACCGGCAAGTTAAGCATATAAAAAGGACAAGCAAAGAGAGAAGAGACTACAGCCAACTGAGGAAGCCTGTTGAACAGGTGAAACGCGTTTTGGACACTTATTGGACATTTCCACTTTGCATTTGCATTGGACTTTTTTCCTATATTCAGCATTACCTGATATATGGAACCTTTTTAAACTTTTTTATATTTATTTTTTTTTTCAATAAATATATAATACTATCTAAGGACCACCTGCATGTAGAGTATTCCTTGGGGACCTACTAAAGAACATAAGGTGGAAGACCAAGAAGCTGACAACAAAAGGGTCTGGACAACCCCCAATGGTCCAAAGACACATACTTCTAGAGTCATATGATGGTATGACTCCGGCCTTGTGAGTTACATTACTTCTTATTTCTGCTTTATCGTCATTTCCAGACATACTACACTATTTGCATTTAATTTGTGTTTTACAGATTATTCAAGATTTTACAGCTCCACCTATTATTTTGTGTGTATTTCTATGTAATCCAAATACCCCATAAAGCCATACCATTTCTTAAAGAAGACATCCCAGGGTATTTCAAAAGGGATATTTTTCCGCTAGCTTGTAATAAGTGTAGTGGTAGTAAGCGTTTTTTCTGCCTTTTTGACACACAAAGTGAGTTTGCACAGTATATTTTGCAAACCTTATGTGTGCTACCACTGTATAATACTTCATATGGAGTTCAGCTATGTTGGCTGAGTACAACAATACCCCCGTATGTACCTTTGCCAGGTATATGTGGACATCGGAGGGGCACATTTGGGACACAGCCATTCCAGTTTTTTTTCAAACTTTACATTTTTACACTGTGCCCATGTCCCATTTTAGAGTATTTTACCAGGCTATATAATACAAATACCCCATAAAGCCATACCATTTCTTAAAGAAGACATCCCAAGGTATTTCAAAAGGCATATTTTGAACCTTAGCGTTGGATCATTTTTCCGCTAGCTTGTACCAAGTGTAAACGACTGGCGACTCCCAGGGCTGAAATATACTTGCAACCGGATCAGTAGTGGTGATATTGTGGTCTCTGGACTTCGGTTGGATGATGGATCCAGCCTTATCCATCATCCAACCGAAGTCCAGAGACCACAATATCACCACTACTGATCCGGTTGCAAGTATATTTCAGCCCTGGAAGTCGCGACCAGGGGCTGTTTAGTTCATCTTTTTACTTATCACTGTTTTGTTTAGTGGTTGATGCCGGGCACTTTTTTCCCAGGTCTCATAATAGGACTGTACATTGCTATTACCTCTGTATTGGATGTTTATGTATTTTATTATCTATTTTTATACATTTTTTTATGAATCAACTGCACTGTGATGCAAAATAAATTTTATTTTCTAACTATTCATATTTTATAAGCCTCTATAGAGTATTAACTCCTGAGTGTCTTTGGTCTCCTATAAGACCACTATTTTCTCTAGCGCTTAGCGCCCCCATTAGGTGGGATTTATTCCACCTTCTCTTCCTTTTTCACTTTTGTTTTCTATAGGTTTTTAGAGTGTACCTAGAGGGTGGCAGCTTCTTGTTTAGAGTTTTATTTGTTTTTGGTTCTATTTTTTATTTTCTTTGCACTTTTGGCTTGTTTTTAATTTTTATTTGGACTGAGTAAAGGGCGGTGTTTTTTTATTTTTTACTTAAATATTATTAAATCTTTTTTTAGCTTAATTTTTAATTTTTTAAAGTTTATTTTAAAACTTTTTTAACGTTAACCCCTAGTTAGCCTAACACCAAATCCCCCAATTCCCCACTAACTTCCACCCACCCCAGCTAGTTAAATATATAATTTTAAAATAATTAATTAAACAAATAAATGTAACCCCTGAGGTTTAAAAAAAAAAAAAGAATTAACCCTCAGGGGTTAAAAAAAACAAAACAGATGACAGTAAAATGTAATCCCTGCCAATTGATCACTGTAGTCAGTGATCAATTGGCAGGGAAGGGATTACTTTTTTAGTAAAATAGGTAAAGGGGGGTGGGATTTTAAATTAACTTTATTTTTTTTACACAGGGGCAGGATCATCACTGTTCCGGCTCCATGCACTTCACACAGAATCAGGAAGTGCAGGGAGGCGGAAGGTAAGTATACTGAGCACATGTGCTCGCTCTGACAGCCTAATACAGAGACAGACCGGAGCACCACTAACCTCGCGATCGCCGCGATCTGGGGTTAATTTTAACGCGTGATGGACTAGGTTTGGCACTCATTGTTATGGCAATCCCCTGAGTGACGGACCTTGCCCGTCATTCGTCGTTAAGAGGTTAAGGGGTTAAGTTACATCAATGTCTTATGAGCCTCTGCTTTAGACAGTAAAACTGAAACAAACCTTGAGCATGCTGGAATGACATTTTACTGTAAATCAATCTAAGTAAAACAAATATAAGCATGTCAATAGGGCTTGAAAAAGGGCAATTAAATGTGTTAAACTTAAAAATGAAAATCTCATAGTCAAAGACAGCAAGACTAACCCCCAAAACAGTTTTACGTAAGTTAATGCCAAAAAAGGTTAAGAGTAAAAGTGTTGTCCATTGAAAACAGAGACTGTGAGTTAATCAAGGAGGATCAGGCTAAGGATAAGGCAGAAATTGTAAAAAATAAATAAAATATATATATATATATATATATATATATATATTAGTAGAATATATGGCTGTAGCTTTGCAAATCCCTGCTTGTCACGGCTGCTGGATATTGTATGTCATCTTCCCAATAACAGAGCCTGAACCACTGTTTTTGTACTATAAACCTTCTGATTTATTTGGATATTATCAGTTAGCTGACAGCCAGAAATACACAGCACAGAAATGTCAGAGAGAGAACAACAGTTGGGACAGTTATAGCCTTGGCACATGCACAGGTCCCAGTCATGCAAGCACACCTGCCAAAGAACACAAGTCTCCCTCTCTGTGTGACTATGCTTAAAATAATAATAAAATAATAACAGTAAGGGTTTAACAAAATAATACAACAATTGCAATAAGTGGAGTCCAAGTTGTCACACTGTTACAAAAGCCTTACAGAAAATAGGTGATTGGTTGATAAAGGGCTATAGAAATGAAATAAGGTTAATGTAAACAAAGCCCAAGGGACAGATGGTATTCACCCACGTGTGCTTAGAGAGCTTAGTTTAGACATTTGTATACCATTGTTTTAAATATTTAATGATTTTTTTCTTTCAGGAATTGTACCAGAGGACTGGAGAAAAATAGATGTGGTGCTTATAATAAAAAGGGTTCAAAAGCTCAACCCAGAAAGTACAGACCCATGCATTTAACATCTGTGGTTGGAAAATTATTTGAAGGGCTGTTAAGAGATAATATTACAGTATTATTTTTAACAATATCATCAGCGTGAATCAATATGGTTTTATGAAAGACAGGTCATGTCAGACTTACTTAATTGCATTCTATTAGGACGTTAGTAGAAAAATAGATCAGGGTGATCCAGTAGATGTAATCTACTTGGAGTTTGCGAAGACATTTGATAAATTCCACACAAAAGGTTACTATTAAAACTGAAATCACTTAAGATAGTAATAGTAGCTGTAAAAAGGAAATCTTCAAACTGGACAAAAGTAAGTGGAGTGCCTTATAATTCTGCTGTCCTGGGTCCACTTATCTTTAGAGTGTTTTAAATTCTCTAGAAGTGGGCATTGAAAGTCATTTGTGTTGTTTGCAGATAACACAAAACTAGGTAAAATAATACAATCTAAACATGATAAAACTTCTGTACAGAGGGATTTGGATAAATTAATTGACTGGGCAGGCAAGTGGCAGATGAGATTCAATGCAGTTAAATGCAAGGCCATGCATTTTGGAATAAGGGACCAATAAACAACATATAGAAAAATGAGGTTAAGTTAGGGATAACTTTAAATCGAAAAGCTAGTTAGGTGCTTTAGTTTATAAAAAGGGTATTGATTCATGTGAAAATATTTTTTTGCCTCTTTATAATACAATGGAAAATCTGATTGCCATTATGGAGTCTAGAAGGAATGTTTTCCCTTTTTTGAGGCTTAATTTTAAATGGCTACAACTGAGCTTTTGGCCATAAAAGAATGTAATATAATGTGTTTTATGGTTGAATCTGAATAGTCTTTGTCAACCTGTTTCTTATGTAACTATGTAATTGGTGTAGGTGACATGTTACAAAACTGGTGGAAACCTATGAAGTACTGTTCAATATAGAGAGCTAAAAGATTTCGAGCATCACATCAAAGCAGTCATAGGGATCTTTAATTAAAGTGGTATAACAAAATGGTATGATGAGCAGAAAATAAATGTGTGGCACAATAATGCTTGCACAGTAAATGGTAATATTAGCTGAAGATTCTTCCCTTTTGTTGAGATGGCCTGTTGTATGTGCAGTCTCCATAACTGTGGTCATTTCCTTTCTTCATCTGACATAGGGGAAGCTGTGAAAGGTGATGAAGACTGCAAAAATAGGAGCCCAGCTGGACAAGAGGTTTTTAATGTCATGTAAATAGCTCTTAAAATATTTGTTTACATAGAGTATGTCATATCTTGGTGTTTAAGATATTATATGATAATACATTATTCCATATAAGTTTAAATATACAGCTATGGTAATGGAAATGAACAATTGTGGTATGGAAGTATGCAGTGTGGAAATACAGTATAAAAAAGTGATAATGTATGTATTAACAAAGACGGAATGGAATTGCAAGAAAGATGCAGACACTCTCATTTCCTGTGTATATATTCCCTAGGAAGGTTATGATAATGTATTTGATTATAACTTTGAAGGGCAAGAAATATTAAATGCGCTGACATTTGAAATCAGGCTGTATTCTGAAATTCTACAAACTCAACAGTACATTTTGCTTCGAGCCAGTATAGGTACCAAGAAGTTGTTCACTAGAAGTACCAAGTGAACAGGTGTTAGTGTGTGTATATGCATGTATGTTTGTGTGTGTATGTGTATGTGTGTTAGTGTGTGTCTAGGACATCCTAGCAATAGCATGTATAGTACTTATGTAGTTCACTGTTAAACTGATATTTATGTATTAGAATAAAAATTAAAACCCATAAACATGGATATAATGGGAACTTGGCATTTATAGAGAATTTATAAACTTAAATGGATACTCCACTGTCCAAATACAGAAATAAATAGAAATCACTTTTTAGTAGACATCCCCCAAGGAAAACCTTTTTTTTCATGGGTTATATCTAAAAACACAATGCAAAAGCTTCTGATCTCTTCGCTGAAGCCTTTGCAAACCTCCCCTTCTAACCCTAGTCTTTCTGCGGCTGTCCAATCACAGATGTTCCAATGCAGCTCAATAAGAATTCTTTGCAAGGCAGGTGCTCTGAGCAAATTCTGCCTCCTGAGTTTATCTTCACTGAGCTAAACAGACCAGGAAGTAACACAACCGGTTGTCTGACTGACAGCCAGAGGGGGAGCAACAAGGTTAATTTATAAAAGTTGAAATCTGTACTTTTTGTAAAATGATAAAGAGGACACACTCTTCATACATAAAGCACTCCAGCAAGCTAGAGTGTTTTAGTGGCCAGTAGTGTCCCTTTAAGATCAAACTAGCCAAGCTGCAATAATTCTGTAAGTCAGCCATGCCTTCATTTTAGCTTTTCTGGAATTACATTTGAAATTTACCTTGAATTCTCACTTTGTAAATATTTTCTGCCTAGTGCATCAATTCTATTTTAGCATAATTTTCCATATAATTATTTTTCCAGAGTGTTGAACTCTGCCAGGCAACTGAAATCTGGACCAAATTAATTATAGTCAGGCCCTGGTTGGAATTGGTTATTATAGATTTTATCTGGCCTTTTTGTGGCTGAAGAACAGAAGAATTAGATGAATAAAGACTTCTGATGGTAAGCATAATTTTTTTTTACAGGTTTTAGACTTTTGTCTTCTCCTCCTCATTATTATTATTCAGGGAAGAGGGGTAGATAGGGACTTTATTTTAGGAGTTTGACTAGGGGATTGGGATCTCATTGCCCCCTGGGGTGGCTTATTTGGGGAGGGGGGGAGGTAGACACCCCTCCTATTTTATAATTAATTATGACCATTTAAACAAAATCAGGTGTTTACTGAATAACCCT